CGTCGGAGGCGCACCCCGAGGGCCCGGGGCTGGGCGGACAGGTGGGGGCTGAAGTTGGCGCGTCCCCCCGGACGTGTGCGCCAGTGGCGGCGTTCGAGGGGCCGAGCGGCCCCGCCAGCCGCATGGGTGTGGCCCTGGGCGTGGCTGCCCCTGTGGACCAGCTTGCGGGGTGCACACAGGTTGGGTGGGAGATGGGGCAGCAGCCCTGGGGCCCGGCCCGCCGCCCAGGGTGGGTAGGGGGCTTTGTTCTCCCTCCTCTTCCGAACCCCAGCCTAGACCCCGCCTCCCCTCCAGGCTGCTGGGGACTGGGACCTGAGCCTCCCTCCCCACCCCCAGGTGCTGGGGATCCCAGAGCTTCTGTTCTGGAATCTTGCACCAAGAAAGAGTGCACTGGGGGGTGGCCCTGGGCGACAGCGGAGGCGCTTGTGCACCTGGGTGTAGAAAGTGGGCCCCCCCGGGAGTAGGGAGGGGGCCGCGAGCCGCCCGCCAGTGGGGGCTTGGCGGGGAGCCCCGTCGTCCTGCCCGCTGCAGGCCTTCGCTCCCCCAGTTCCTGTCCTTGGCTGTGGGGAAGGTCCGCCGTCCCCGGCCCCCCTTCCTAGGGCAGGATTGGGCGGCTGCGTTGGCAGGGCTTGCACAGAGCCCCCAGCACAGGCTGCTGCCCTCTGTCCGGCGCCCCGTGCCCATCAGTGGGCCTCCCGGGAGGCGGCTCCCCGCTGGGTGGGAGCCTGGCGTTCACTCCGCCCAGAGGGCAGGGGCTTCTGGGCAGCTCGGGGCACCTGTGCTGACTCACGTGGCCCCGCTGGCGAATGGGCTCGGAGCCAGGCAGCCTTCCAGCCCCCTGGTTCTCATCCCCTGTGGCGTGCAGGGGCGGGGGTCAGCCCGGGGCCTCAGGCCTCTGGAGGACTCCCTGCTGCAGGTGGCCGGACGTGGCCTGGCCTCCCTCACACCCGGTGCGCACCCACCCGAGGCTCCTGACACGTCGGGCCTTGAGGTTTTCATGACCATACGGATGTTCATGGCCAGGCTGAGCCTGGGATACCCCCTCCAGGCTCCTGGCAGTTTTCCCGCTGCATCCTCATCTTTTTCCAGCCTTGCGTCTGTGTGCACCATCCCCAAAGTGATACACCTAGCTGTAGCACGTTTGGAATATATGGAAAAGAACAAAAGAAATTAAGGCTCACTGGTGATCAGATGGCCAGAGAGAAACCTCTCAGCGTCCCACACTCAGTCTCCCTGGCCAGCCAAGAGCTCCGACTAGGCCCCTCCCAGCTCCCCCCCCACCAAAGCGGTCAGGCCCATCCCTCCACCCTCCCAGCTCCACCGCTGCCTGCCTGCCTGCCTGGACGCTGGTCCTCACTCTCATTCCAGGGCAGCTGCCCCCTGCCAGGTGCTCTCCAGGCCAGGCTCTGGCCCAGAAAAGGCCAGTTCCAGACCCATCAATTTGTCTTTGTTGTCCGGTGCTGGCGGGTTTTGGGCTGTGGCTTGAAGGGGAAAGAGTCAGCGAGTGAGCAAGGGTTCCCGAAGCCTGTCCTGTGCGCCCCCCCCCCCCCCCGTGACCCTCTCTGCCGCTGCACTGGGCACTTTGCAAGGGTAGGTGCTTTGGCCAGCCTGCCCCAGGACTGCCCCCCAGCGCCGATGACTCAGACCCTCAGCCTCTGCCCCACTCTTCGAGCTCACGGGGGTGTGGACTCCTGGTCCCTCACAAGGGGAAGGCCTTGGAGCCTCTCAGTGACGACGCGACGGTCGCAGTGCGTGTCTAGGGCGCTCCGTGGGCCGTGGGGGTCACACAGCCTGAGCGAGCTTTGCCAGCCCCTTCTTGGCAAAAGGTTGATGAAACTCTGAGGTGAGGAGGTGGGTGGGTTCTGGGAGGCACCCTCAGAGCGGCGTGCTTTGGGGTCCTGTGCAGGACAGGCATGCCAGCCACCCCGGAACCTCCCCTTCCCAGGCCCAAGCCCCCTCTCTGTGGATGGGACTAGGGACCCAGAGAGCACTCCCAGGTGCCCCGCCCCACCCTCTGACTCAGACAATGGGGGACCTAGTGTCTGGAGCAGCCCCAGCTTCAGAAGGGTGGGTCTAGGCCCTGGGCGGGGCCGTGCGGGTGGGGGGGCCCTTGCAGGTCCTGCCAGCCTGTCTCTCCTGCTCGTGCTGATCTAGGCACCTCTTCTTCGGCCCCCTCGCACTCCCCTGGCAGCTGCTTGCCCTCCGTGCCACCCCCCCCCCCGAAGCCTGCACCGCCCTCGCTGTGCCCATCCCTCCGTGCCAGCATGTGCCCTGCTCGTCTCTCCTTTTGTCTGTCCGCTCTTTCTGCTTCTCTCTCCCACCCTGCTCCCT